GGAAAAGACGGGCAACCGTCGACCCCTGTCGCTCTTCTCCAGGGCGCCCGATTGTGCAGACCTGTCGTGCTCTCCTCCCATTTGTCCTGCTTTTCTTCCCAAAGGACTCCAGCTGTTTAGGCTGCAGGATGAGAGCAGCTTTCTCCAAAACTTGTGTAGTGCTTCTGTATCTTTTCAGAGATGAGGTGACCACAGCTGCCTGCTTTGTCCAGGATCTGAAGGAACCACTGATTTATGCAATGGCAAAATTACACTTCCTTGTCCAGCAAGACTGTTTCTTTAAAATGACAAACATTTCACATCGTTACACTTATCTAAATACTGAGGGAAAACCCAGGGTTTTGGGGTCTGCTTTGTGGGTTGTTTTTTCTCTCAAGTTAAAAAATTCTTATACTTACAGCTTAGAACCAAGTGTCTCCACATGGATATCACTGCAAGTGCTCGTGTGTTGTTTTCCCTGCAGGAACCCCGTTGTTGGCTCCGCCTGTGAAGGAAGGATGGCAGTGTAGCATTGCCCCCCAGGATGGAGGCAAGGGGCAGGGGCAGGCCCCACTGGCTGGGCCCCCTCCTGGCTCTCTGCCTGACCGCCCTCCCTGGCAGCATCGCCTGCCCCCGGCTCTGTGCCTGTTACCTCCCCACCGAGGTGCACTGCACCTTCCGGTACTTCACGGCCGTCCCGCCGCACATCCCTCCCAACGTGGAGCGCATCAACCTGGGGTATGTCTAGCACCAAGAGTTTGAATATTCTGACCACCTTTCAATGCTTTGTAAAGCAAGAGCTAAGAGTCCCCATATTTAGGACTAAAAAGTAGAATCGTAGAATCATTCGGTTTGGAAGAGACCTTTATCAAATCCCACCATTCTCCCAGTACTGCCAGGTCCCCACTGACCCATGTCCCTCAGCACCACATCTCCATGGCTTGGAAACCCCTCCAGGGACGGGGACTCCACCACTGCCCTGGGCAGTCTCTTCCAGGGCCTTACAATCCTTTTGGGGAAGAAATTGTTCCTCGTGCCCAACCTAAACTTCCCCTGGTGCAACTTGGGGCCATTCCTTCTTGTCCTATCAATGTCCCATGAGTAACTAAAGCAAGAAATAAATTTTAAGAGGTTAATACTCTTGACCAGGAGGAAGGTCACACCCCAGCACTCTTGGGTTCACCTCATTCTCCATGCATAGCAGAGGAGGCTGTCTTGTTCATGGACCTCTCTGGGTTGCTGCAGGGTTGTTAGTTAGGTTTTATATTTTTTGGAGTATTGTTTTCCCTCAACTGAAAGAGGCATTTACATGCCACCAGCCTCTGCGATTCTAGAAGCTCCTTGCTCTTCTGTATTCAAGCCTAAACCTGGCATTCTTGCCTACACATTTTGGCAGTTATTTTCCCTACCCACTGTGAACAGCCTTCAGAAAAGTGCCCTGGGAAAATTACCAAATTTTGTGCTAACGTGGAGGAACAACTTAAAATTTCATTTTAGCCACCAGAAGTGCCATCTCTTTATGCATTTCCAGAGTTTTCACTTTGTTTTGGTTTTGTTTGTACACTTGTGAAGTTGGGATGTCTGACTACACCCAGGTCTGGGGTGAAATCTTCCTTACAGCTACAACAGCTTGCTTAAACTGACGGAAACAGATTTTTCTGGCCTGGAGAAACTGGAGTTATTGATGCTGCACAGCAATGAGATAAACACAGTCCCTGATAAGGTGTTCAGTGATTTATGTTCATTACAGGTAAGAACCAAATGACTAATCTTAAATAGGAGATGGCCTAATTTTAATTTTTGTTATGACTTTTAAGCTATCTGCAGTGATACCAATAAACGGAAGCAGATCAGTGGTCTGTAGCATTATGGTTTCCCGTTTCTTATTGAATCCATGTGAAAGCCAAGGGCCTTCAGGATCCAGCATCCCATTTGGGAAGCATCCTTCCTTGCCAGGCAGGAATTCAGACGCTGGTTAAAGAGCACGATGAACATATTGGTAGATCTCTGTCAGTAGTATCTTAACGGGCAACTGCAGCTGAAACCCTCTGTCACACGGGAGAAAAAGGCTGCAGAGCTCCATATATTGCATCTGTGGTAAGAAATTGGTCTTTAGTTCATTTATAATTCTTTTTTTTTTTTTTTTTTTTTTTTTTTAAGGATTGTTTCCCATCTAGATTTCCCTCCAGTACAGTATAGAATCACAGGATGGTGTCGGTGGGAACGGACCTTTCAAGTCCAACCCGCCTGCAGGGAGCAGGGACATCTGCAACTAGAGCAGGTTGCTCAGAGCCCCGGCCACCCTCACCTGGAATGGTTCCAGGGATGAGGCAGTGACCACCTCTCTGGGAAACCTGTATAGTTCCATCCCTTTTTGACCTTCATTTATAAAAAAGGCTCCTACTGAACAGAAATGGAACATACTACATATAAATGTTTTAGTGCTCTAAAACCCCATAGAGTTCCTTGGTTTTGTAGTTTAATATTGATTTTTGGACTTTCAAAATGTAGTATTTGTTTGCCTGTTTTGTTCTTTAACTGAAATATTAGGGTTTTTTTTATAAAATATTACCTATATTTAGGTACATTGTAAAAATCAGTAACTGTACGGTGCCACACAGGGCTTCTAGAGCTATTTCAGTGTCTCACTGTGCCATGTAGGTATTTACATAGAAAGAAGTGACATACATGTTTATTTAGGAACCACCATTCCCAACTTACTTGATTTACAGGTAACACTCTCCAGTTAACCTTCCACCTAGAGCTGCTCTTCACTGCTATAGAGAAGAAACAATGTCGTAGCTGTGATGAACTAAGAACATGAGAGACCTTTCAGACTGAAAACACAATATTGGCTTAATTGATGAGTTTAGAGGCTTCAGGCATGGGAGAGAGAGGCAGAAACCAAAGAAGTGCTGGAGCAAACAGACTTTCAGGACTCACTAACCCCCATGCAGGGCAGTCCTGGGCTTGGCAGCTTCCTCCTCTAACTCCTTGCAACTGGCTTAATAAAACAAGCTTTATGAGTCCTTTAAGCTTTTCCACCCTTCACAGGCAAGATGGTAACACAATTATAGAGTTTTAATGGAATTACGTTTGGCAAATAAACTCACACGTTATTGTGATTTTGCACTTTTTTTGGTCATTAATTTTCAAAATACAGAATTTCTGACTGTAATGGTATAATTCTAACAGGAAAATTCTAACAATAAAAAGGGCACCATATTTAATGCCATATTTATTACCATATTGGGTACCATATTTAATACTTCAGCAACGTACCAGATTTGCTAATCTCATAGTTACCAGTTCGACTTTTAACCTGTCAGCAACAAATTGGCACCTGAGTGTTGAGGTGGGGCAAGTTCACATCTTGTATGGCACAGATCCTGAGGCTGGGTACACACTGTTGGTTGAACAGCCAACAAAAGAGACTGGTGCATGCATCTCAGCACCGTCTGGAACAAAAACCACTGCCACAGCTCATGGTCAGACTCTGCTTATCCTATTCATAAGTGCTTTAATTGGGATTTTTTGAATGAGAAATAAGCATTGCTTTATTTTATTTTCTCTTATCACTGTGCTTTGTAAAGATGACTGCAGAAGCATCACCCTGACAGACTGTTGGAATAAGAAAGTGTCCTTGTACTCCTCCAACTAACACTGCATTTAAAAATAATTCCTCCTATTAAGTTTTTTTGCAATCACTTGCTTTTCTGCTCTGGTGAAGTACATAACCATCAATCAGAATTTGTTAGGAATCTTACAATGATATAACAGGTGTTAATATTACACACTTGTTGCTTTTTCATCAACAGGTCTTAAAAATGAGCTATAACAAGGTCAGAGTACTTCAGCAGGATGTTTTTTATGGTCTAAAGAGCTTGGTACGTTTGCATATGGACCACAATAAAATTGAATTTGTAAATCCCAACGTTTTCTATGGACTCACATCACTGAGGCTGGTCCACTTGGAAGGAAATTTACTTCAGCAGCTTCACCCAGATACTTTTGTCACCTTGCACTATAACAAAATATTTAAAGTATCTTTCATGAAGCACATCTATTTGTCTGACAACAAGTTGACTTCACTGTCCCAAGAAACATTTTCCTACTTGTCTGAGCTGGAGAGCATTTACCTTCATGGAAACCCATGGTCCTGTGACTGCAGTCTGCAGTGGCTTGCAGAATGGACAGAGGAGAGGCCAGGTGAGCTGAAGGCTTTGTTTGTGATTTTTAATCAGGTTACAGCATCTTACTCTTCCTGATAAAGGCGTTTGTCCTTTGTTTGTTTATTTAGTCTCCCAGCAAAGGCTGGAAGACAGGATTTTTGTAGGTGCATGTAATCAGGATAAAATATTAATAGCATTCAGTTGCCCAGACTAAATTAATCTGGTGGTCTTAACCCATTCCCAAGTGCAGCTTTCCTTAATAGAACATTCTCCTTGGCCAGTTCAAAGCTTCTGTGCACCAGAAGAATCCACAGGGAATAAGGAATATGTATTTCTGCATAACTTGCAAGAGTGAAGCCCACATTGTACTTGGTTCTTCAAAAAAGAAATAAGGAAGGAGACCTGGAGACTTTCTCTGTTGCTGCCCTGTGTAGAGGTTGCCCGTGGTAGTGTAGTGTTACCCACAAACTCCTGGAGCCTGTGTCTGGGGACAGAGCTGTGGCTGTGTACCCCAACAGAGCCCTCATTGCATGGTGTAAAGCCACTGGGACAGAACTCCAGACTGAGCTGCCATGGCAATGATCCTTACTCAGCTTCATCAGAGAAAATGCAAAGGTCTTCTTAGGTTACTTCACGTTTTTTATAAACATTAAGATGAACTTTGTTAACTTTTTATTCAAGAGAACAGCTTGCTGGTAACTATACGACTTTTTTTAATACTAAGAACAGGATCACAAAAGCTTACTGCATTTTTCTTCCCTTCAGATGTTTTAAAGTGCAAAAAAGACAGAAGTTCCGGTGCTCAGCAATGCCCAGTTTGTGCTAGTCCCAGAAATCATAAGGGGAAAAGCTTAGTGGAGATTCCTTCTGCATCTTTAATCTGCTCTAAGCCAGCCATACATGACTCCCTGAAACTAAAAAACCTCACGCTGCCAGGTGATGGGGACTTCAGCTCCGTGTCTCCCAGGGACTTCATAGCTCCTATAGGATCCATAGTTTTGAACATGACTGACCAACCAGGACATCGAGGTGATTTGGTCTGCAACGTCCAAAAACCTAAAGAAATGTCTCCCATCTCCTTTGACAAAGATGGCAATGGCACAGTTCTCAAAACATCATTTTCAACATCTCTTGTGTGTGGCATTGATGATGAACGCATTCAGCAGCTATGGAGCATTCTGGCACTGTACAGTAATTCTCCCTTAAAACTGGAAAGGAACGTCTTAACAACTAACAAGTCTTTTATTAGCTACAAATACAAACAGATCTACCCTGAGAAGGATGAACTCTTCACCAATATAGAGAGCGAAGTGCGAGCCGAACCCTCGTGGTTGATGCAAAGCAAAGTGGCGTTACAGCTGGACCGGACAGCAACCACGCTCAACACGCTGCACATCCGCTACTCTGCAGATGCCCAGGTTATTTTGCCCAGTCCTGACAAAAACCAGGTGAGCAATAACTGGACCATCATCTCCAGAGACAACCAAACACGGACGGAGCACACTGTTTTAGTCGGGGGGACCGTAGAACTCGAGTGCCAAGCAGTCGGAGAACCAGCTCCTGCAGTGGAGTGGATCCTGGCCGATGGGAGCAAGGTCAGAGCTCCCTACCTCAGCGAGGACAGAAGAATCGCAGTAGTCAGAACTGGAACGCTCACCTTACGGACAGCTGACACTTTTGACACGGGACTTTACCACTGCATAGGCACAAATGACAACGATGCAGATACTCTCACGTTTAGAATTACCGTGGTTGACCCCCACGTGGAACACGACAGCATAAATGGAGCCCAGCTTTCTCCGCGTGTTGGTAGCACGCTGTACCTTCCCTGCACATCCACCGGGGCACCAGACGCTGCCATTAGCTGGGTGTTACCCCAGCACATGATTCTCCATCGCTCTGTAAGAAACAAACATATTTTTGACAATGGCACCTTGAGAATACAGGGGGTGACAGAGCGAGACAGTGGCTACTTCAGATGTGTTGCAGCCAACCACTACGGTGTTGATCTTTTGGTTTTTCAAGTGCTTGTTAGGCGGGATAAATCCACTCTAAAGGACAAGCACGCAGCTGCGGGAGGCTGGGAAGAGGGCGAGGGCTCTGGCGATGCAATGCTGGCCTCTGCTGCAACTCAGGAACAGCCTTTGGGGACTCCAGCTACCTTGAGAGCTCATCAGGGATCTGCTGCCTCTGCACCCAGGAATCGGGTCACACAGAGCGCACCCAGCAGGGATGGCCACGGGCTGGTGCCTTACAGGCACTACCAGGACAAAATGAGCAGGCGGTTTAGAGGCCGCAGGAGGCAATTTGTGTCCTCAGCCAGGAGAGTTGATCCCCAGCACTGGGCAGCCTTCTTGGAAAAATCAAGGAGGAACTCAATAGTGATAGAAAAACGAGGAGAAACTGCAACAAAGTCACCTGTTCAAGTCCATAAATTCTCAGAAGTACCTGGGGATGAGGGGGAAACATCTGGTGATCTCAGATCCCCAGAAGAATTCATGATACCACTAACAGAGACAGCCACCACGCCTGCTCCGGGGAGAGCAGTGGGAGGCATGAGAACTGCAGGGCCCGAGGTGCCCATGAGGAGCAACCCTGCCAGGAAAGCCTCCCTCCTGGTTACCGAGGCAGCACCTGCCCTACCCTCTCCTTTTTCACACTCTATGTCATGTGACAGCAGAAGGACACAAACATATCTAAAACCTACAACTACAGCCTCATGGGAAAGATCTGACTTAAGTGAAATATCAGCAAATGGTTTAAAACTAACAGCTGTATCAAATGGGGCAAGCAGAACATCTGCACTCTTCCCTGCTGGGCAAAGGTTGGTATATTCTGGGGAGAGTAACAACCACCATTTAAAATCTGTGTCAGTGACACCCTTGTCAGATGCTACAGACACCAGCAAACCTGTGACTTCCCAAAACACAGTGGAGAAGCTACGAGTGTTTACTGAGTCTATTGATAAGATTTCCACCAAAACAGGTCACCAGATACCTGTAGTGACAGTCAGTGAACCAAGTCCTGAATTTAGTCATGTTTATTTTGATAGTACTCAGAAACTAGTAACTCCTAAGCTGCTACTGGCCTCAACTGTCATTACTCATCAGGAAATTCAGAGTATTCAGGATGTCACAACTATTACACACCAGGCCCAGCAGCAATACGAAAGACGAAGGAAAGTTTCTGGTAGGAGACAAATTGTTAGACCAGGACATGTTCCAAGTATGAAAGAGCACAGATACAATTTTGGGAGACCAGGCTCTGTCAGAGGAAGCACAGATGTGGCTGCAGGTGTTCAACTGAATATGAAATATGTACCAAATTTACCAGCCTTAAGCAGCTCCATATACCCATTCAGCCCAGAAGCACCTCTGTCCTCCCCCTCTACCATGAATATGCTGTTGGGGCACCCAGCAGTTACTCATCAAAACACAGCATTCCTCAGGGAAGAGGAAAATGAACCTAGTGCAAGGCAAAAAGCTACTGCAATAGTCATGCCTTCCATCACAGAGGGCACCCGAGACACTCCTCAGTGGCAGCTGGAGCACAGTGCTCCATTTGAGACAAGTACCAATGGAGTCCAACCTTTTACCATCAGACTACCAACAGCAGCAATCCACACAGCTCACACTGCCACAGACATTACACATACCATAAGCACTAAGGCATCTTCTACCCTTGTATCAGCCTTACCCAGCATTGAGCCTAGAACCTCACCAAGAAGTTCCCAAACAGGAAAAATTACTTGGGAACATCCCTCTGGACATGGTGCAGAAAAACAGGTTCTGAAGAAGCTACCAAACCAACAGACAGATATGTTTCCATCAACAGAGGCATCAGCCACACTTTCTAAAAATATGACAGCATTATCTACGTCCAAAATGTCTCCTTTGTCCTTTACACCTGTTTCAACAGGTGGGAACCACAGCAGTGGTTTCTTGTCTTTAGATAAGCCCGCTCATTATGGTGATGGTAAGCCAAAACATCAACATCCTCCCCACGCAAAGGCGCGTTCTTCCTCCAGTCCTGCAACTAGTGCAACCAAAGAAACAGATGGGATGAGCTTGAAGCCAACAGCTACATCTATTGTTACTCCTCAAACTGACACCAAAGTCGTCAAAAGTAAAAACTTCAGAGCAGGAAGGAAGAGAGGCCAGAGGAGGAGGAGGCCCCCTAAAACATCCACTTCCCAAAGCGTGACTGCCAGCCACAGCCCTGCAGCAGGTCCCTCGGTGGCCGCAGCTGCGCCAGTCATCACAACGGTTACACCATCAACTGTGCCCAGAAGCGTTGTGCCTGCAGAACCTCCCCCTGCCTCAGCGACAGGAACGCCAGCACCGTGGGTCCGTGACACTCCCAAGGCACCGCAGCACGTGCCCGCAGCAGCCACGCAGACATCCGCGACCCCTGTCACGTGGAGGGACACACAGCTGGCCACGTCACCGCCCAGCAGTCGCGCTGCTCAGAGCCCCACCATCCCGATCCAGACCACACCAGGGCTGTCAGAGCCTTTCAGCACCACATGTGCACGACCTGCCGCAGTCTGCGCAACCTCTGGGTCAGAACCTGCTCACCAAATCACAACAGCAGGTGAAAAATCACACCTGAAAACGGAAGAGGGAGTGATCCAAGAAAACCACGCAGCACAGCACACGTTTCCAGCGAGAACCGAGCTGAGGACCAGACCTCCTTCCAGAGCCACAGCCACCACTCCTCCCAGCATTCCTCATCTGACCCTGCCACCAGCCCCAACAGCAGCTGTGCCACCGGCACATACTGCCAGAACCACCTCACCTTCATGGGAAATCAGATTCTGGCAGGAACCATCTGTGGAAATCACAGAGAGAGGCAACACGTTACCTGTCAATACCGTGACCACGCTGAAGTCACCACAGATCACAACCCCGTATGCTCTTCTGTGGGGAAGGGATAAGGGCAGTTCTGTCAACAGCTGGTCTGAAAAGAGACAAGATCAAGAAACTACAGCCCCCAGTCCTATAGGTTTGGACTCTTTAAGCAGAAATCATTTTGCAAAGCCCAGAATAACTGGAGGGAAATTAGCTGCTTTTACTGTCCTAGCTAATTCAGATGCTTTTATTCCTTGTGAAGCTACTGGTTACCCCCACCCAACAATACAGTGGACCAAGATATCATCAGGTAAGTTTGGTAAACCTCTCTAGAACTTACCTTCCCTTACAGGCCTGTGACCTGGCAGATGGTCCATGTGCCAAACTCAAGTACCACTTCATTTAGGAATACTGGGAACTATCAGTGCAAAGATGAACGTGGGAGCAGTGAAAAAGAAAGATATCCGAGCGCATTCACAGCGGTGTCTTACTAATTATGAAATGGTTCTTTAGGGAAACAAAAAAAATAATATGATCTGTATTTGACTATAATTCTGTTCTTATTGTGAGGAGATCTCAGTATTTGTGGTCTGTTACCTGCTATTTCAGAGCTGTGAGACGAGTGAGAACAAAAGTCCGTCTGTGGTAACAAACCAGCAAATCAAGTTACAGTGATGCCAGAATATTTTTGAACATGCAAAGCCTGTTCAACTATGGCAAAGTATTTTTGGATACACAAAGCCCCATCTTATTTTATCCAAACTTCGTCTCTACTGAGGACCAACTTCTGTTTTTACTTTAAAGCTTTGTCACTCTATATGCACAATGCCATTTTTTCCTCTCTTTCCTATCACTAGTGTCCTGGTTATCTGGGCAAAGTAGACCAGGATGGGGCAAGTGTTGCCAGGGAACAAGCAAAAAGGTGCAGAAGGGAGAGGTTCTGACGTGCTGTGCTGTTGTCCCCTTGCTTCCGCAGGGCGCGACGCTGCGGAAGGCCGAGGCGAGGGCCGGTGGCTGGTGTTTGCCAACGGCACACTCTCCATCGCCCGGGTGGGCCTGGAGGACCGCGGGCAATACCTGTGCACCGCGGCCAACGCGCACGGCGCGGCACAGCTCCTGGTCACCCTCTCGGTGGTGGCCTACCCGCCCCGCGTCACCGGTGCACGGTGGCAGCTCCGCACCGCTCACTCCGGAAAGCCGGTGGCACTCAAGTGCAAAGCTGAGGGCAGGCCCCCACCCGCCATCTCCTGGGTTCTCGCAAATAAAACGCACATCTCCCGCTCCTTGGCAGGGAAGAGCAAGGCTCACGTGGAACCGGACGGCACTTTAATTATCAAGGAAGTCACTGTTTATGACAGGGGCCTCTACACGTGCGTGGCTAAAAACCCAGCCGGCGCCGACACGCTGGAGGTAAGACTGCAGGTGATCGCGGCACCTCCCGCCATTCTGGAGGAGAAGAGACAACACGTTGAAGGAATGATGGGGGGAAATCTGGAACTCCCTTGCACGGTGAAAGGGAATCCTCAGCCCAGCGTCCACTGGGTCCTCTTTGACGGCACGGTGGTGAAACCTCTGCAGTTTGTAAAGGCAAAGGTGTTCCTGTTCTCCAACGGCACTCTCCACCTCAGCAACGTGGCCCCTTCTGACAGCGGGAATTACGAGTGCATAGCCACAAGCTCCACGGGCTCGGAAAGAAGGGTGGTGAGCCTCGTGGTGGAGCACAGGGATACGCTCCCAAAAATAGCTACTGCCTCTCAAGAAATGACTCGACTGAATTTTGGGGATAAGTTGCTTCTGAACTGCACCGCAACTGGGGAGCCCAAGCCCAGGATCATCTGGAGGTTACCCTCCAACGCAGTCGTTGACCAGTGGCACAGGTAGGAGTTATTTCTTTAACTACCTCTTTGAAACATAAAATGCTGTCTTCTCTGGTGCTTGTATAAGACACTGTCAGAGCACTGAAATAATACATCGTGAACTAAATTAACTTTTAAACATCTAACAGTGGTGAAATACCATGTGGTGACGGCTTGTTACTATATGCCTAATAACAGACCACATCAGTGCCATAACTGGGTGAGGACTTACCAAAATGGACGCAAGTCATATTTGAAGAAACTGATGTTAACCATACATGGACTGAATTTTGACCATTTTATTTTGCTGTGATTCAGGATGAATTCTTAATTTGTGCTAGAACATGTTTGCACTTTAATAAAAACTGAGATGAATAAAGGGGATTTGAGTATTTCTAGACAGTGGTAAGACTATTCCATACCAGACTTCTAAAAAATTAACAGAACTCAGTTTAATTGATGACAGCCACATATACAGTTATCACACTTTCACCACAAATCTGATACAAATTAGTGATCCCTTATCTGCTGAAACAAACTAATTTAGAACCTTGAAAACCACAGAATGTGGCTGTCTCTAGCACTTCATCTTAACAGCCAGATAGTTCAAAGTACTGGTGTTGGCAACAGATTTAAATCTGTGATAATCAAACGTTCAGATTTATCAAAGTGAAAGGTATAATATCAGGTACCAGCTGCCAGTGCAAAGCAGCTGCCTTTGCAGCAGTGGAGGCTGTAGATTACACACTACAAGGAGGAGGAAAAGCTGTTTACAAGAGATTTGTGAAGTAGGACTCGGGTGGAAAAGGCTTCTGTAGTCTCTGCCAAGTCTGTCTTTGAGGGTCTCCCACCCACAGTAACACTTCACCTTTGCTTTGGGAGAGACAGTCCCAGGTCAGGACGTTCAACATGAAGCCAGGCTGAGGAGGGAGACCCAGGTCTGTGCCCTGCTGCAGGAGAGGCAGCCAGAGAGTAACCACACAGTGCCAAGTGTTGTTGTGGACAACACACAGCAGCAATGCCAGCTGCTCTGTCTGCAAGGCATACAAGGAAGAGGAGCAGAGGCTGGTGGGATGAGGGACAGTTCAACAGGCTCATTTGCTCACAGAACATCTTCCAGCAAGGCAGAGGCAGCATCATGCAGTTTCGCGCACTGACATCAAGTCAGGGAGCACAGGCACATCCCCATAAAAGCGGCAGCTACATCAGGCTATAACCCACAGGCTCGGTGGGCAATGTGGGCACGGTGCCTTTGGAGAGAACCCCGCATTGCATAGTGCTGTTAACACTGTCAGGCACTCTCAGTGCTCAGTACTTGCCTCCAGCGTTTTGTTTCGTAATCCATTTCCTCTTTTTCCCCCCACAACAGGATGGGAAGTAGAATCCACGTGTACCCCAACGGATCCTTGGTTATTGAGGCAGTTACTGAGAAGGATGCAGGTGACTATTTGTGTGTTGCAAGAAACAAAATTGGAGATGATCTGCTACTGATGAAAGTCAGCATCACAATGAAACCAGCCAAGATCGATCAGAAACAGTATTTCAAGAAACTGGTGCCATATGGAAAAGATTTCCAAGTAGACTGCAAGGCCTCTGGGTCACCCACACCAGAAATCTCCTGGAGTTTGCCAGACGGGACGGTGATCAATAACGCGATGCTGGCAGATGATAGCGGACGCAGGTCTCGCAGATATGTCCTCTTTGACAATGGAACTCTGTATCTCAACCAAGCTGGAGTAACGGAAGGGGGAGATTATACCTGCTATGCTCAGAACACCCTGGGAAGAGATGAAATGAAGATACGCATCATGGTCGTCATGTCAGCTCCTCAGATAAAGCACAATTACAAGACATACATTAAAGTGAAAGCTGGAGATAAGGCATTACTGGACTGTGAAGCTGTTGGAGAGCCCACGCCAAAAATATTCTGGTTGCTACCTTCCAGTGACATGATCTCCTCATCAACAGCCAGACACTTCCTGCACGTCAATGGTTCTCTGTCAGTCAGTCAAGTGAAGCTGTTGGATGCTGGGGAGTATATGTGTGTCGCTCGTAATCCTGGAGGGGATGATACGAAATTGTATAAACTGGATGTTGTGGCTAAACCACCTGTCATCAACGGTTTAGATGTGAACAAAACAATCATGAAAGTGACGGCAGTGAGGCATTCCAAGAAACAGATTGACTGTAGGGCAGAAGGAACACCTCCCCCTCAGATTATGTGGATCATGCCCGATAATATTTTCCTAACAGCTCCATATTATGGAAGCAGGATTGTAGTACACAAAAATGGGACCCTTGAGATTCGGAACATAAGGCCTTCAGACACAGCAGATTTTATCTGTGTGGCTCGTAACGATGGGGGAGAGAGTATGCTGGTGGTGCAGCTGGAGGTATCAGAAATGCTAAGGCGTCCAATGTTTAAAAATCCGTTCAATGAAAAAATAATAGCAAAACCTGGGAAAACTACCACATTGAATTGTTCTGTGGATGGAAACCCTCCACCTGACGTAAGCTGGATGTTGCCTAATGGCACATGGTTTTCCAGCAGCATCAAGACGCCCGAGTTCCTCACGGGAAGCAACGGCACCCTTACCATCCATAGTCCCGACGGAGACAAAGCAGGAAAGTACCGCTGTGCTGCCAGGAACCAAGTTGGCTACATAGAGAAGCTGATCATCGTGGAGCTTGGCCAGAAGCCCAGTATTCTCTCTCGCCCAGCAGGGCCAGTCAGGGGCTTTAGTGGGGAGTCGCTGTCGCTTCACTGCCTGTCTGACGGGAGTCCCAGACCAAACACCGCGTGGACTCTGCCCAGTGGGCAGGTGCTGGACCGACCGCAGATCAACCGCAGACACATTCTGCTGGAAAATGGCACGCTGGTCGTACGAGAGGCCACTGCTCACGACCGAGGGGATTACGTGTGTACGGCCCGCAACGATGTGGGAGACTCCTCCATGAGGATTCCAGTCATCATCGTGGCCTATCCCCCGAGGATTGCCAACAGGCCACCGCAGACCGTACGCACCGTGCCTGGCGCAGCGGTCCGACTCCACTGCACGGCGCTGGGAGTGCCCAGGCCGGAGGTCACCTGGGAGCTGCCCGACCACTCCGTGCTCTCTGCAGGCCACCAAGGCCGAGCCGCTGGGAGCCAATGGCTCCACCCCTCAGGGACGTTACTCATCCAGAATCCCCAGCCCACAGATTCTGGCGCGTACAAGTGCACAGCGAGGAACCACCTCGGCAGTGATTTCACAGTAACATACATTCACGTCATCTGAAATGAGAAGCAGAGCATGAATGACTGCTGACAAAGTCTACAGATGGACTGAGGTCACACCTGGAGCAGGTTTAATCCAAGGCAGCCATAGGCACATAAGTGCCCAAATACATTTACAGTATTCAATCTGCAATGATCATGCAAAAACAGAGAGGAAGGGCTTGGGGAAAATCAGATCTAGCATTATTACCTGGCAGGGATTCTTTCCATGGTGAAATAGGCTTAAATTAAAACAAACTGCCAGCAAACTGAATATCAAATAAGATTACTTTCTGGAAACGTACCTACAGACCTTCAGTGAGGACAGGCTTTTTCATATTAGTTAAATGTCCACCTTGTATGGCTATCATGAGCATGCATCACATAAAGCAAGAGTATCAGAGAACCCAAAGAGCAGATTTTATTGTGATGCAGATTACCTTCTTAATGTGTTTGAATATTTAGTATGTTTTTAAAATAAATATTCAATGGTGAAACAAGCAGTGAAGTATTTTTTATAACGCAGCTCTCTTCCACAGTCTTTTTGGCAGAACTTCGGGATGACATAGACAGAACAATCATTCTCACTTTCAAATGAGAGCATAAGCTCTGTTTAGAAAATCTCCACAGACCACTTACAGACTCTCTAGCTGGGTATGATTTTCTGTTGTCACAAAACCATTTTTTAAAGGTTCCTCACTAGAGAACAACTCCATCAGTTTGCATATAAATCCAGAATTCCGATTTCTCAATTCAGTAGGTAAGTTAAGAAGCAAAACTTCTGTAAATGAGGGAAAAAATGCCTTCACAACGGTCAGAAATGGTCATCTGCACATTTTACACCAATGAATCATGGATTAGACTGGTCAAATGCCCCTTTAAAAGGTTAAGTGTTGATGGAGTAGTAGCCACAAAACAGCTGGATTACATGAGCCTCATTAGTTAGCAGCTTTAGCTGCTACAGGAACAGTAAATCTCCTTAAAAAAAACTGCACAGAAATAATTTTTACATGAGTAAGACCTACCTGACTGTTGTAGAAGCCAATCAAAATGTACATTTCTGTAGATTTCCAAGTAGTGGGAATTACTTCGTTGGCTGGCTGCACAGCCTCCCTGGCTCTGGTGCTTGCACGGTGCTGGCTTCTCCCCTCCCCACAGAACACCCGACCTCGATACCACCTAGAAACCCTTTTCAGTTAAGCAAATTGAGTTAATACAAAAGAAGGAAAAGTATTCATATGTATACTCCAGGGGCACTGTAGCTTCCACTTTCGAAATGAATATATATATTTTAAAATATCATATTGACTAACTCCTGAACTACATAAAATAGTAATAAATTTATTCTGGTTTTTTTCCAACTCTAATATGAGCAAAATTATAATATATTTGTACAGGTCTGAATAGTAACGATTTGTGGTGATTTTGATTTATAATTTGTTTGTGGCTGTGCACTCTGCTGATAACATGTAGTGCCTCATACCACTTAAACTCACCCCGCGGCCCCAACTCACATCTGGAATTGGAAGCAATTCCTGTGCAACATCAGCAGCACACACAGGTAACAGGAATAACTCACAAGAGTAACCTCAAGTAAAAGGTAAACCTGCTCTGCTGTCCAGTCGTTGTTACGGTGTCGTGCTCTCCTTCAGAACTGATTACCTGGGAGCCTTATGTTAAAAACATCAACTATGAAATGGTGCTGTTTCTAGTAGGTTTATTAATGTTACATTGTGGCTTTTGATATAAACTTTAAGAAGTTCTAATACAAGCAATATACCCACTTCAGCACCTTCTTACCACAATAAGAGCAATAGAAAATTAGTACTTTAAACAAAGTACTTTATAAAGTGCATATGAAAATTACAGTCAAATAAACACAATTTAAATTGATGCTTGTTATACCGACAAAGAAAGAGGTGAACATTTCAATGAACAAATTAATTTTTATGCCAAAATCAGCAGTGCCTTTCAGTTCAGTAGTTTGGTCCAGTGCAGTTCTTTTAAAAAAAAAAAAAGACCAAAACAAACAAACAAAATAAAATTAAAAAAAAAAAAAAACAAACAAAACCAAACAACAACAAAACAAATAAGAAAGAAGTAAAAAAAAAAAAAGTGTTTCCACAAATAAATAAATCCAGCGTTCTTTGTCCTCTTTAAAATCAACAGGACCTAAAAAAAGCACCAAATTCATAAAATCTGCAACAACGTTCTTCAAATAGGCCCACACATCCGCACATTTAAATCTAGTGAAACGCAAACCCCAAAAAAAATTCCCAAACCCAAAATCCCACCTTGTTACATAGTCACATCAACTGCAGCCCAAAAAACAATTTTTGAAATGATAGGAAAAACTAAAGTCTGCTTTCTAGCATTAACTAGTGCATTGGGTTTTGAATGTCCTGTTCTTCAGTGCAAACGTGATGAGATGCCTCCCCCGGCCCCTGCTCTAGAAGTGTGACAGGTGCCCGTACTGGCTCACTCCTTGCTGTGGCTGGTTACCTGGTGGGGAGAGCAAAGGGAGCGTTGGTGTCCTCCGTGGGAAGACAGAAATTCACCTGCGTTTCACGTGGCGGTACCGAACAACTGCCTGTACCTTCCCCTAGGCACCTAACATGCACCAGAGGTGCTCCTTTCCTCGGGGATTCTAGAGAAGAGGGGGGAAAACATGCAGCCACGGGTGCTGGGCCACCAGCCCTGGCCCTGTCGGTGGTGCCTTGGTCTTGTCTGGGGACCAAAAGACGTGGTAGCGTGGGCTGCGCTAGCACCAGGGTTTTGGAATCACATCACTACTGGGATGGGTCGCCTGCTGCCAAGTAGGTAAATTGCCCATGTGTATCTACAGCAGCACTGAAATAAGCAGAACACCCCCAGAAGGCCAATTCTGTACTCAGCATAGATATCTCTGTATGCTTGTGCACACACTTACTAGAGAGCTGCTTCTGGAGCTGCCGGACCAGCGCCGCGGTCTGCTGCTGCTGCTGTGTCTGTTGTAAGCCTTGCCTTGGGAACTGCCACAGAAGGATAAAGATGAAAGAAACAGGCACAGCACAAGTGCCACGGCAGGTGACAGCAGGAGCGTTCGGCTGGTGCTGTCCCATCAGCTGCTGAAGAGCTTGTGGAGAAGGACAGCAGAAGGCTGGCATGACACCATGGCTCTTAGCAGCACAGTATGAGCATGTGGACCACACTCAGAACTTAGAGAACATTTGTTCTCTTCATTCCCTGAAATCTTACAGGGATATACAGGAAACAATCATTTCTAGTCATGTTGCAGGGGTCACATGTGTCCAGCCAGACACAAGGGACAGAGCCAGCTTGTCTTTCCCCTGCAGAGGCTGGGATTCATCTTAAGAGTCACTCTAAGCAGCTTTACTGTCTGTGTTCTTCAAAGACAAGACAAATCAAAACTGCAAATCTAAACTTACAGTCTTTTTAGTGTTTTTAAATACTTGCATGTAGTTGAAGCACAATAGTCAAGAGAAGCTTCTAGGAAAATACTTTCCCCAGGGCAGTGGCACTTCAGATAAAGCAAAGGGTGAGCACTAAAGCCCAGGTTGTTGTTCACTGTGCAGGGCTGGAGGTGCACACTCAGTTCTTGGCTCCAGGAGAATGGGAGGTTGACCAGTGCCCAGTCAACTGGCCCAGCTCCTCCACGGAGCAAAATAATCATCATTCTGATGCCCACCCAGAGGGATCGAGACAAGGCCCTTCCAGCCCAAAGCAATAAGCACCATGAGATTAGACAAAGTTTCCAGAGAAATCTGCTGATAATGAATTAAATCATGGCTTCTATCTCTCTGGAAGTATCCCTGGTGTAAATGCACTGACTTTCACAGATTTGCACCCTACTTACACTCACGGCAAAGCAGGATTTAGTCTTTAATTGGCCCATCTGACAGCAGGTGCTATTCCCTGGCTAGCTGACCCAGGAAGCATGTTTTTCAAGCAAGGATGGGTAGGAAAACAAGCATCGCTTTGCCTTCTACACTTCTGGCTGTCGTTCAGAAAAAAGTCTGTATCACCAACTCCTACTGGCCCTCTGGCACTGTCATAGCTCCAAGCACACCACGGTGCCAGGGCACAACAGGGATGGGCACCGCTGTGGGCAGAGCTCACCCCTACCAAAGCAAAACCTCCATGTGCCAGCCACCCCTGCTGTTGAGGGCGCAGCTCCCTCACCCTTGCCTGCTCCCAGGAGGGAATCCTGATGAATGAGGGACTGCTGTGCTCCCGAGCACAAGCAAAACTGAGCCCTCACTGTTCACAGTCTCTCCTATCCTCAGGGACTCTGAGCTCTCTAGATCCATTTCCCACGTCCCAGAATTTTCCTTCTTGTTAGATTTGCTGCAAATGCACGTGTTTCTAATTCAGCGATGTTTTTGTGCTTCTGCACAGGGATATGCAATACACCCAACCCCCCTGAAAACCTGATGTGCTGAATAAAAACTGAGTTATTCAACACTCTAATAACATCCTGTGGGCTACAGAAAATGCCCAGGCTTTGTTTCAGTGAAACCTCTTGCTTATTGAGGGGAGTTTCAGTGATTTACAAGACTTCAGCATCTTTTCCCTTTCTGAAACCAAATCCTTTACCTAAAACACATTGTGCAATCCTCTGACTAACAGGCCTCAGTGAGTGCTGAGGTTAGTCAGGCATATCAACCACCCCAGGGCTTCTTGGGGACATGAAACAAGCTCACAGAAAGCCTTCTGCTGCTGGAGGAGGAGCCTGCAGCAGGCAGGTGCTCTGCCTCTGGGACAGTCTCTCACATGCAGTTTGTTCAAGATATAAACACTCAGTAAGAAAAAAATCAAAAACAGATGAAAATTATCTTTCAATAGCTATCAGATAAATATCCTTCATTTATCCTTACTCTTGCACTTACAAGCTGCCTCGGAGTTTCTCCAGCAGATAGCTTTCAGATGCGGAAGCTAGCAATTGCAGCATTACTGTATTTTTCTCTTTTTTCTATAGCAAACTTTTTCTAGTTATCCTCCCCTACCTCAAATACACCTCCC